ATAATATAAAAAATTACTATCCTTCTCAATTCTCCAACAATTCAATGGTTCAATGTACTGAAATCAAAAGGCCCAAAATAAATAAGAGTTTTTCTCTCCCTAACCTCACCTTAGGAAGCCCAAAGCAATCATCAAAGTAACACGCAGTCAAACTCTAAGACTAGGCTTTATCAGTTACTTTTCTGGCAATGTTACATCAGAACAAGAATGTGGCAATCAATTCACATTGTTATCTTCACCATAATTTGGTCAGTGATGTACATTTACTCATCTCAACCCAAAGTGAAGGTCACTTTCACTTGAGGTTGAAAGAATCTACAAGTTGCAAAAAAGAATAGACCGGCACCACCATTTCAAGGCAAAAAGATCTGGGTACCCATAGTCAACTTTGAGAGACTTTTTCTTCCTTCTTGAAATGAAAATACAGCCAATCTCCATACACTGTTCAACGATTTTCACGAGTCGGTTGCATCCACGGGTAGAGAAGTCGTGCGATGAAGGGAATTCGGCATCATGGGGCCCACATAGAAATCCTTGGACGTTCCCAGGTGCACCGGACCGCACGAATTATGAGCATACACGAAAGGATTAGGTTCAAAATCATCATTTCCTTTTTCTTTGACGTCCGCATGGGAATTTGATGATTTTAGACGCCGATCCCGGAGCCCCCTCAGCTGCATTTGGTACTTGGCTTTGAGCCACCTCAGCTCCTGCCTTATCTCATTCTCGTAATCCTCCATTGGGCCTTCGATATCGGCTCTAGTAGTTTTTGCCTCGTCATCATTCATCAGTTGTTCGAAACTTTCACATTTGTCACCAGGGTTATTTTCGGAATTCAGGTCGGGCCCATTGAGTTCGTACGTGACCTCCTCGAAACGGCCGTGCACAGCTCCGCAACTGTGTTTGAGGGAATCATCCGAGTCACAGTTGTGGTGGCAACAAACGCCGTTGTCGTGGCTTGGGCTTTCATCTGTGTGGGCCCCACTTTTCCACCCGGGCACCAGGGAAGCTATCTCTCCATCGATCATCTCGGCGATTTTGGTGACATCTTGGTCAGTGATGTCCAGCTCAGCTACCATCTCGACTGCCACGCTCAGAGCTGTGTCATTTTCGATGTCGAAAGGGAAATATATGTTTCGGACGTGACCTGCGGGTTAAGGCCCACTTTTCAGAACATTTTAATTTTCCATCATCATCATCATCATATATCATATATCATGAAAATCTACATATTATCCCTTTTATTTGTTTTTTCTTCTTTTATTATTAGATTTTTTTTTGTAGAAGCTCTAGTTTCTATCATTGGAAGAGAATAACAGATAAGAACAAGAATCAGAAAGACTCCCACTGAGATCTTGTCAAATTTACGACAAAAAGACGGGGGAGGAAGAAAAAGCAGCTAACATTATCATTAGGTTGTATCCATCATGCCTTGCACACCAGCTGCTAGTGGAGCTAACAAAAATTGTCAACACAAAAAAGTAGAGGCTATGTATAGCATTTTAATGACGACGGCAAACTTTATCTTGTCAACAAACGACAGGAGAAAACGATACATGAATGCAGTTTCGTAATTTCATAGTTAGCAGTGTCTATTTCTGAACACTTGATCTCGCGGTAGTTTTAATAATCAAAGAAACTAAAGATTAGTTACCAAAAAATAAAAAATAAAATAAACAAGTATATACTCAAATGTGGCTTGAGTGCTACTTGTAAAATAGAAACAAATAAATATCAAGATATTTTTTTTTTTTTTTTAAGAAATTAGTCAAAAATTCAAATCTTTTGCTTTCCTTTTCCATTTTTAAACAATTAACTCAAAAGGGAGAGCTAAAGCCTACCTTCCTTATCTGCTATCCTGAGCCTCAAGAAGATATTCCCATCCTCATTCCTCCTTCCTTTGATAGTGACATCCACATTCTCCAAGTGCTCGTCCGTGAAAAACTCCATCTCTTGACCATCATACCCAACTGACCCGCCCTCGAACTCATTGCTCTCCGGCTCGTACCCAACAAAATTGGCGTACCCATTGACCACCGAGCTTGTGGTGCTGTGTTGTGCGCTCAAGAGGCGCTGTGCGAGTATAGGCCCAAAATCATCATACTCCCTCTGATAACTTAAAGGCCTTAAATCGCAAATGTAATCATCAATTTGGAGAAATGGGTCGTTCAGAAGCTCCCAAGCCGACAGCCTGTCAGACACTGTCGCCAAGCATTTCTCGACAAATCTACGCACCTCCGGGTCCTTTACTTTGTATAGTGCATCCGGTTTCTTTCCCTAAAGAGAAAATAATAATTATAATAATTAAAATAAATGAGCATGCTTGTAACTGAAAATGGAGATTTTTTAGTTTGAGTCGGAGTTCTAACAGAGATGACTTTCTTGTAAATCTGAGCGGGATGAGAGCACTCGCTGTATGGGTACTCAAATGTCACCATTTCAAGAATGCACATGCCGAACGAGTATATGTCGACTAACTCATTGTATTCCTCTTCATACACCTCCGGGGCCATGAACTCGGGTGTCCCTAATAAAGATTTGAGTATAAAGAGAAGAATTTATGTTTCGAACAAGATTTTCAAAAAATTTACCCTATTCGGTCTCATTCTTCCTCAATCACCATATATTGCATAGCTTCCCATAATGATATACTTGTTTATCTCAAACCACTATCTTTATTTGATCTTACTTTTCACTCACCAGTCACATCCAATTACTATTGTGCTAACAGACTGTTGAAGAGATTGGTACCTTTATACTTCAATTCGATCTGTCTTTTCCAGAACATTCTTTTCATACTATTTCCTTGGGAATGTGGAAAAGGAATGCCCCGTTTGACAAAACTCGAATCTCGACAGGAATGTTAAAAAAAGAAATATTACCTACACAACGTGCTGCATGAGATTTTCTAAGAATTGCAGCAAGGCCCAAGTCACCAATCTTGACTTCACCTTGGTTTCCATTGATGAATATATTGTCACACTTGAGGTCTCTATGAATGACAGGCGGGTCATGGCTATGGAGATAAAGAAGACCTTGCAAAATTTGTCGGCACCAGTGCTTAATTGCTCTAATGTTGACCCTCTTATGTTTCAGCCTGTACCTATGAGTAATCAAAAAGAAGATGAATTTCAAACTTTCGGAACCAGTTACTCCCACACGATGGCAAAGCCCGGTTTTACTTCTCGCTTTAATCTATCCAAATTCAGTTAGTTCCACTTGGGGTAAATCAATTCATACCTAAGATCACAAGATTTTTGCAGAAGCCCCCTAACTGCACAGATAAAAATACAAGAATCCAACGACCGGACAATACATTTTTACGCGAACTTACTGTCTGAGAGTACCAGAAACGAACATCTCCGT